TGTGAATATCTCATTTAGATACGAATTAATTAACATTAGTTTATGAAATCTAATCTTCTTGCGTATTTTTAGGCTTTACATATTGTATACAATATAGTAATCCGATGATACATTAATGTTTTATAAATACGTCGCGTTACTTATTATTTCAAAGAACAATCATAAAAAATACTTACACATATAACAAAACCGTATAAAAAAATTTATCTAACAGCAGGGTAACTGCTACTTTGATTGAAAAGAAAAATGACAAAAAAAGAAGATAATGATAGATAAAAATGTCGAAAGATAAAAATGACAACTTATTATTTAGTTGTTGATAAAGGGTTCAATGTGTTTATTTCATTTATAGAATTTATATTCAAAAGAGAGAAAAAAAATGTTTATTTTACTCATAATAAAGTTGAAAAATAGAAATAATCTTAATGAATAAATTAATTTAAATCATGCATATGTTTCATATCTAATTTTTTGGAGAATGTGGATGTGATTATGAATTTGTGAGAGTAAAGAAAACATATCCAACCACACCTATGCCCATACCTCACTTTATCTTACCATTTGGCTGATAGTGCCATCTCCGTTTCAATAATCGATCGTTTATGTTTTCATTTTCTGCATTAGTAATTTTAAACTTCGAAACTATCAAAAAAACATATATTTCGACAATATTACTTTCGGAATGCTTTTCCCCAGACTTTACCATTTCGATATGTTTATTTTTCGACATTGGTAAAATAAATCAATAGGATATGATAATATATGCTCGTATTATTATTATTATTTATAATCAGGTTTCAAATGGCTTCCTAATATACCTAAGTTTCTTTCATAGGCTATATTTCTTCAAAGTTTAACAAATCGTATTTAATATATTTTTGTCTTCAAAATAAATTTAGAACGATAATACGATATGATGAAACAATCTTATTAAATTTTTTTTCACTTTATTTATTCTATATAAACAAACGTCTTTTTTCTCTTGCGCTTTGCATTAAAGGACACATCGTCGTTAAGCATTGATCGGTATGTTTTTCTTTTGTAAAGCGTTAAGTCACATTTAGTAATCAGTAAACATTTCTTTAAAGTATAGCAACTAAAAAACGAGAAAACAAAAAAAAAGAAAAGGACAATCATCTATTGAAGAATTAAATTTTTTACGTGCTTCTCTATTCACTCATAACTCCAACAAAGCATAATGCAACAGCCAGTACCACGAGGTATTAAAAGAAAGACTGCTCAACCAGTCATAATAACAACGAATACTGTACGTATGAGATTTGAAAATTATTTTCAAATAAATTTTTTAATATATTATAGAAATTCACTCCTAAAATATCAGAGCGAACAATTCGAATGAGAAAAGAAGCTAAAGAAAATCGATACAAACCATCAAAATTTGCAAGTGGACTTGATTTATTTGGTATCATATGTCTTTATGGTTTTTTGATTCTTTGCGTCTTAATTGGTGCAGGTTTGTTTCAATATTTATTATGCATTGTTTTATTTGTCTTATTTTAGGTGGCATAGTTATTTGTGGTATTTATTTTAGTAAGTCATTGTTTTTTCTATTTGAAATTGTATTGTTATATAGAATAAAAATTAATCTTATAATATAGATGCCGATGATAATACCAAAGGATGGAAAATTGCTGGTATTGTACTTGGTGTTATTACATCTATAATTGGTGTTATTTTAATTTTAATAACTATATTTAAACAAGCACGTAATAGACCATGGCAATATAAAAAACAAGAAAATACGATTAATATAGATGATTCTTATGGTGATGTTGATGATGATAATCAAATAAATGTTGAAAATTTTAATGATAATCCAACACAAAATACTACTATTGTTCATCAAGATTCACTAGAAGAAAAAAAAAATCTTTCTCAATCTGCTAAAATTCATTCATTATCTGAAGTCAAAACACGTGAGACAGCTTCGTCACCAATACCCAATCAATCAATTGAACCTTTACAATTACAAACTAATAATAATGATCTTATATTTTGTCCTGGTTGTAATCGTTTACATCCAAGTACACATCAATGTATGTATTCAACACGTAAAGCTAATGGTTTTTCAACACAAACTCGATCTATTTCGCAAGCACCTCGACAAGATTCAATTGCTATTCAAACAGATGATAATGGAAAAAAGACAAAGAAAACAGGGCCACATACAGTTATTGATCGTTCATTGAAATATTCAAATACTACTGAAACACAAACCGATGTTACAGCTAATCCACGATCAAACATAACAGAAAGTATTATTTTACGACGTGTACCAATACCAACAGCCAAAGTTATTGTACAACAACCAACAACAAAAGTTATGATTGTTAAAGTTCCTAATACAGCTGGTCAACTTGTTATTCAACCGAAAATAGGATCAATTGATGAGCAAACAAAATAAAGACAAGCACAGAAAAACAAATATCTATTTCCTATGGTTTAGTTAAAGAATATTTTTTTTTATATTGAACGCAACAAATATTTATTGGTTTTTTTTTATTCTTGTATTTTAGTACTTCATTTACTTTGCTATAATTAATATCTCATGTTCTAAGGATAAATCTTGTGCTATTAGTAACATATACGTGTAATCAATGATGATTTGAGTTATATTTATTATACCGAGAGCAGATAAGATCTCAACTTCCTTAATAATTTGTTTTATTACTGGTTGTCCTAGGATATCAAAAATAGATATTATGTTGATGTTGTCTCTTTTCTTCTGTCTACAAGTGTAATGTCATTCATCACATCGAAGACTTTTATTACGCGTATTCATTGGTGGTTATAAATATAAATATCCATTGTTTAATATTTAGAATGAATTTTTTTCAACTATGTACACGAAACGAAACAACATCATTTTCACGAACATGCCCTTTGAGATTTATGTAAAGAAATTATTCTATATGGGTTGTTGTTAGTTGTCTGTATGTATACTCTTCTAAATGCGTCTGTACTGTTTGAGAATAACCACATACGATAATACCGAAAACAGCTAAGTGTTGTTTTTTCTCCGTTTTTTTCTGTAGGAGTAACAACACTTTGGGTAGTATTCTTTTTCTCTGTGGTAAACACGATATTTTCTGATAGGAAAATAAGTATGAGACCGAAAAAACAAGTCGTTTTTTGTCATCGTGATGATATTTCAGTTGTTTTTCTGCCCAAGTAACGGTACGGATGTCGATGATAATACTAAATAGAACATATCGATTTTCCTCTTTACTGTGTGGTTTATGGCTGATAATGTCTGTTGTTGTCATCTACAAGGACGATAAAAGGAAAGAAAGAAATAGGCAGAAAAACCACACAGAAAATTATTCGGCTCTTGTAAGCTATGAAGAAGAAAAGAGAAAAAAGTAGAACAGATATTTACAGATCATAAATACAGTACATTTTTTTTTCTACTAGTACGAATATATATCATCCCACAAAAACTAGATAGAAAGCTGGTGTCTGTGAGTATGTTATTGACAAAATTCTTTAGATAGAATGAAGAAAAAACAATTGAAAAGCAAACTTCAATTTGTTCATAGACATTTATATAAAATAATATGTAAATAAATGCGTATATCCTTTGTCTTGATATGATATAAAATATCAATAAAAACATTCAGAAATCCATATGGTTCTATAGACACACTAGTATTACTTGGGATAAAATATACTTCTTATTTGTAGATCAGTATGTTACGTCGAGCCCGTTCGTTGAGCCGCCTCCGTGGCGCGACACCAGGGCGCGAAGCGACCCCATCTATTTATGAATATGGGTCGGGTAATGAAGGCACTGGTGGAGGCGGCTTTTCAACACGTCTCAATATTTATACACCAAATCTGTATGGATCAATACCACGTTCTGCACGAGCTGTTTCTGTAGCTCGATCTAAGGATATCGATGATGAAATACTTGGTGGTCGAGCTTATAATCGATATCATCGAGCGCAATCGGTAGGTTATTTTGATCATTTAAAAGCACGACGACCATATTCTGCTTATGGTACACATGATTTTGATTATTTTGATCGTTATACAGAGCGTATTAGGGATAAAACACCGATTGCTCTCGATGCTCATTATACTCATTACAGGCCTTATTATTGGTATCATACTGCACCACGTACCTTTTATTATTATTTTCCATATGATGATTGGCGTTATCGACCACTTTATTCTTATCGTTCTCCTGCACTATATTCATCAACAGGCGTTGATTCATCGTATAATTATCGTTTTAATGATGCAATCGATCGTGTAACATCATTAAAACGTGCTATGCGTGATCTTGATTATACACGTGAATTACGACAACTGCGTTATTCTACGCCATCAACATATTCAGTTATCACTTATGGTGATAATTTATTAAATCGAGCACGAGAAGATGTTCGACGTGCTGTTGATTCACGTGTTGGTAGCAGTGGTCTTTCAAGACTCAGTAATCCACGTGACTATTTTGGGAGAACAGTAAGTGTTCTTTATCTATAAATATTTTTACTAAAAAAATCTATATGAAACCTTTTTTTTTTCTTAAGAATTTAATATAGTTATGAGAAAAAGATTTTTTCGTTTCAGTCCGGCTATTATTAGAACTTTTATTATCTACATATACACATACATACATACACACGCGCACACATATATACATGCACCGTCTTTCCCAACAATGGCTCAAACACATTCGTGTAATCCACTGACGTTCATTTTTATTCTTCTTTATAGACACTCGTTTTTTTCTCCTCTACCGTAGTTTTGTGCAAATTAACAAACGAATATTTTTATCTAGTTCGTTCTTGTTCATAATAATTTAATTAATGCAATAAAAAGAGAATTGAACATACATCTTTTGAATATCGATTCTTTAGCTTCATCTTGAAGAGAAAAAGATGGTTATTTATGTATTAAATTCTTTTTCAGTATGTTCAATTTGAAAAAGATGGTGTTACAGACGTTGGCGTCAAATATACTGGTCTATCGAAGACTGTTGATGCTAAGCCAAGTACTTGGAAAGCTGAAGACAATATTGAAATGGCTTAGTAAGTATTTTGTAGCGATATACAGTTAACTATAAATTACTTATTTAGTGATTTACAAGCCATGAATGATGACACAGTAGACAAACTTTATGAGAATCAAATGATAATTAATAAAAATCGAGAATGGCTTTTACAAGATAAAGCTGGTGTTGCTCCTCGAGTGTTTCATTTTGACATAAACACTGTAAGTTGATATTGTTTTTCCTATGAACTAAATTTATTGTTTTGAAAAACGTAGCGTCAAGCTCGTCACAATGTTAACAATGCATTGCGTCTTGTTCGAAATTTAAAAGAATCTAAGAACGAAACATTCAATCGATTATCACAACCATGGACATTTGGAAAATATTCGTAATAAAGATCGAGAATGAACATACTGAAAAACTTATCAATAATGAAAAATAACTTCTCAAAGGAAATTAAGAACAATATTTTTTCCTTTGCTTGTGCTCTTTTTTCAATTTTTCCGTGTGATCCTTTTCCTTAGTTTTCATCAGATTGGAACATCATAAAATATTATTCGGAAAAAAAAGAACTTTGATTCTTTCTTATTTTCACACTGTATTTTTCTATCTATTTATAAAATCATACAAATCCATGTCAACATATGTTAGCTATTGGTCGTATAAATAAAAAAAATTCTATGTAATAATTTATGTTCTTTTAATGTTGATGCGGCCAAGATGGAGGAGCTATCAGAATATATCATAGTTAACACGTTAAATGTTTAATTTGAAAGATTCCTATGTAGAATCATTTTCCAAAAAATCTTAACTTCTGTGATTGTACCTAAACATTGTAGAAAATATCATTCGATTATATACATATTTATTAATAAAATTGAAAAATCTGTTCTTGAGAATTTTGATGATTCACTATGGTCTACAAAGTTAGAAAGCTTTACGCAATTTGGAAATACTTGTGTATTTTATAGTTGAGATCTCATGAAATGATCCTATTAAGTGAGTAAAGTATGCATGAACACCTTAAAATTCTTTGTATTGTTTTTTTTTCATAGATGTTCTGGAGTCTGACTTTCTAGAAAGATTAATTCCATAAATATATTCATTTTTAACGTTGTATTTATATCTCATGCTCTCCAAATAACTTAATAGTGAGATCTATAATCATTAATAAAATATTAGCAGATCTTCGTTCAAATCAATGTCCTAGAGGAATATACATCACTAGTAATATATTGTCGCAATCAAAGACCAAAGCTTTCAAGAAAACAAGCTGCTTGGTTGATGCATAATGCATCGAGGTAAATGTTATCTTCGATATAAATATAGAAAATATGTAAGATTCTCAACTTCGAATAGACTGTAATTTTATCAAAGTCTTCTTGAAATTATATAGTTAGAACTATTTTCTAAATCATCGGCGGTCCAGAGTCATTTTTTTTTTGGTATGGCAAAATTATTAAAAAGTGTAAGGAACTTATAAGAAAAACAGAACCTTAAATTTTGTTCATATATTTTGATTTTCATAATAAGTTTCTACTGTAGGTATCATGTTCATATTATATTTATTATTTTCATTCTTAAAAGTGACAAAAAAAAATATGACATCACAAACTTTTCATAAAAAAACTTGATCAATACAATTAAAATAACGGGTGATCGAAAATCATTTGGACAACATGTTTGTTCATTTTTGACCCACCTGAAAGTATTTCCGACGAGTGAAAATCTATGCGCTAGAATCAAAATTTTGTGCTCTTTCCGAATATGGACTTAGAAATTTTATGCAGGTTTCTATTCGAGAGTAGTGAAGCAATCTTTGAAAGGTTCAAAAACTTAGTTTGGATGGAAATTTTGTCCGCATATTTTTGTATTTTTACTGTTATTATCCGAAACTAAAAGATGGAACTTTCATTATTATACCAGCTTGTAGAACAAAATCTATCCTACAAAATGTACTGTGTGAGTATTTTTTTTTTCTTTAGACAAAACTTCTGAGTATTCGTTTTTCCTAAATCGTCATTTTTGAAAAATCGTTTTTTTTTTACCAAAAGCATTTTATGTGGACAGTAGCTCTTGGAAAAATGCGTATAGTTTACCTTGGGTAAAAGCTACAGCTTCGTTCAATATTACATTTTGTAAAGAATTGTTTGCTCTACGAAACTACAGAATCTGAGAATTTTAGCATCTTCACAAAGGAATTTGTATGGGTTAGCAAAACCTGTTTCTTTGCAGTTCAAACTAACTATTTAAGCCTTTCAAAGGTCTCCTCACTTCTCTCGAACGAGAATAGACACAACGTGTCTAGATCCATATCCAGAAAGAGCACAAAATTCTAGTCCTAACCCATAGTTTTGACTCATCTGAAAATGCTTTCAAGCAAGCCAAAACAAATGAATATTTTTGATCAGAAACTTCGATCCAAACGTTCCGTCTAAATTAATTTGTTGGGCCTTTCAAAGATTATTTCACTACTCTCGAACAGAAATCGACGTAAAATTTCTAAGCCCATATTCGGAAAGATCAGAAAATTCTGATTCTAACGCATAGATTTTGACTCGTCAGAAATACTTTCAGGCGAGTCAAAAGTGAACGAACATTTTGTCCAAATAATTTTCGATCACCCGTTATATCACTTCTAGAAAAAATAGGTAAATCGAGCGTATCTGAGGATACCTCTATGAAAAAGCAGGAGTCACTTCTGGTCTAATTTTTTTTACTGGTTTCCGATTAAAGATTGGATCGAAACAAATAGTCGTACAGGAAAGCCCATAATGAATAAAAATTTTTGGTATGGCAACTGTCATACCTTGCCACCATGGTGGCCTGCCACTAGGGGTGTCAATTTACATTTACTTTTAATTTAATTTACGCGTAAATTAAATGATTAGTAATTTATATTTATTTTAAATTAAATGGTAAATGACACCCCTACTTGAAGGCGTAACCATTCATGTAGTCATAGCGTGATCCACAGAATACCTGTACTATTCCAAGTTGGAAATAGTTTATTTGCCAACTTCAGACGCATTTTACGTGTTTTGTTATTGTATGATGGCTGAATAAAAGAGTAGGAAATGAAGTTTGAAAATTCAATTTATCTATGCACGGAACGAAAATGATAACATTTGTTGTTGTTTATATATGAATATTGATAACAATCAGGATTATGAAGTAAAAAGTAAGTGACTATTTTTAATGATCAATTTGCTCGGCTGCGAGTCACATCGTCTATAAGAATTGGTAAATTTCTTTGTCAAAAGGTACTGGAATTCGAATAGAATTTTTGACCCATACTCTATCGCAATACTGAATACTGCACAATGCACAAATTAATCGTACTGTTAAAAGGTTTTTGAGAAGCGTTCAAATACATCATGAAATCTAACAGGACTGTTACTAGTGTAAACAGAACTTTAGCCTACTTAAATTGAAGTACGCTTTCATGGAAATTTTGAATAGATTGTGTTCGTCAGAATCAAGTACCTAAGAGAGTTGAGAAAAAACGATCAAGTCCGAAGACTATTTGCATATTGTAAGGCAGTTTTATCGTTCTGTTATTATCGTAAACCACTGCGGCATAAAAAAATACTTCTACATTCACTTTTCTCGTGTCATTGAAATTCGATGAAAGTTATTTAAATAAACATAGTTAAGCACTTTGTTGAATAGAACGAATTCATATGAGTTGCTTCGAATGCTATGTTTGATTTCATATATTCTCGATGTTTTCATGCCCTTTCTTCACTAAGAATAAATTCGAAAGGAAAATTGCAGCTTCCTCTAACTTCATATGTTATGATGTATTGAAATTGACGTTTTCCTGACAGATAGAAAGAACTTAAAATAAAACGAAAGAAAATATTGATAAACACAGAACAAATCACTAGAAACAGGTTTTTTTTCACTTTTCTTATGAACGTTGATAACGAATATTGCTTCGTTAACGATACAAAAAAAGACTTCCAAGAGTTAAGATCTAACGAAAGTATTAAAATTTTCAATTCCTAGGAGAGCAACGTTTGGGCTATTCCTCTTTAGCACTCAAATAATATTATACAAAAACAAATATTTTTGTGTACTATCCTTTATAATGCCAATCAGTAACAGTAAATGGAGGTATTTTATGACATAACTTTCTTCAAGCGATGAAGACTTCGATCTTGCGGCATGATAATGTCTATCAAAAAGACATGTTTCGTAACGAAGTCATTTCCTGCAAGTATCAGCGGTATCACACTGTTAGTCGTGTTAGCGCTGTAAGTATAGGAGATAAGAAAATTCACACCCATTCATCTAAGCTGACGGACATACTGACACGTGTACTGAAACCCACTTGTAGACAGGTTGATTGACTGGTAGCTGTCAGCATTGAAACCCACTTCCATATCTGAATCATCGACACTCTGACTGCCGCTAGCACCAATAAAGACACTCACATATATATTTGCATCTATACTGGTCTATATGTCGACAGCCGCACCTACCGAAGACCGATAACGACACCAGCAGTGGTCCGGATATGCGCACGCACATCAATACCCACTACAGCTACAGATCCACAGTGACACTTACATGGATATTGACACCGGCTCATCACAGCGAAACAACCACATTGGAGCCCTCAAACTCACACTGTGAAGTAATAAGACCGTTATAACAGTTTGATCTTTGTTGAATTTCTAGGAAAGCTGTCTTCTTTTCTTAATTTTTCGAAAAAAAAAACATTTTCTCCATTAATGATTTGAGTCTCAAATTATTTCTACTCAATTTAGTTGAACTAAACTGTTGGATTAGCTTATTTTAGACACAAAAACAGTTGACATCAATATCTTGCGTATGTCTTACTCCATATGAATTTTATTGAATTTTATTATACTTGAATGAAAATTTTAATTGGTAAAATTGATTAATAGGAAAACTTATAGAATTTATTCATGAAACAACAAAAAACCAATTCTTATCTTGTTTCAGACAATGAGAAATACCACAAAAGCTGCATTTTATGTTATTAAACACTGGACAAACTCTTGTACTCCAATGTCCACATCTGCTTCCTGTAGACCAAACCACAGATATCTGTGTAGAACCCTTCAAGTTCAAAATTTTCAGATTCACATTCTATCGCCTTATATATATTTTCTTCAGACATACTTGAGAACTTTCTCAACGATCAACTGTGTATCTGCTCTAGAAATAGTTCGGAGGAATTCTAGAGTAGTCTTTATTGCTTCATTCCAGGAGAGTATGTATTAATTTTTATGAATTATGTTGTGAAAAATAATTTCAAAAATGTGGAGCATTTTAGCTACTATGGCACTGAAAGAGTTAACTTATTTTCTTTTCTCAAAGTAATCACATACATGTATTTTAAAAACAATATTGCTTAATA